TGCTGAAAGCCTTGCAAGCGCTGCTATGTTCACATACGTACGGGCAAGGTCCCCAGGTGCCTCGTTGACAAAGCGAATTTCCATCCTTTTAATGACAAAGATCAAGAAACAAAGAGTGAGAAATTAAAAGACCCATTTGATGTTGCCTGCTCCCTCGGTCCAAGCTGGGGCTCTGGAGATGGCCCCCATTCTGGTTGAAAAGCTGCCCAACACCTCCTCACCCCAGAAAGTGCATTGGGAGGCAGGGGTTTGAGCTGGCCCCAGGGTCCCCCTGTCCTGCACATGCCCCAGCTTGAGCAGAGGGACACACAGTGACAATGGGGTGAAACCTCCCCTGGGGCAGGAGCGGCTCACGCTGCTCACATCCAAAATTTTGGGTGTTTGAACCCTTCCTCATGAGCCTCCCACCTGATGGCGACAGCCATCTGTCCTATCCAGCAATGGGGAGGATGCAAAGCCACCCCCAGCAGCCGTGGCTCACCCAGCACGTGGGAGACCTGTGGCTCACCCAGCATGAAACGCAGCCGGCGTTGACCCTGGTGACTGCCACCGGTGTCATAAAACTTCACACAGAAACTGGTGTGGACTGGGCAGGCACCCGCTCAGAGCCGTGTGTGCTGCAGGCAAAATCCAAGGGGCAAGTACGTACGTGTGCAGATGGGGCTGGCTCCTCTGTGGGCTTCGATGGGGCTTCTTGCTCTTGCTGTCTGCATCTCTCCGACCACCCGAAATACCAACCTGAAGTCTTGAAGAAAATGCATTTCTGCGCATGAGTCTTGTGCAATCTGGTTTCTGTCTTTTCCGGAGGATTTCAGCAGCGGTCTTGTCTTGTCCAGGTCAGGGCTGATGTTCTGCATGGAGGAGTTTGATGCTGATTTATTTTTCAGGTGATGACCCTATTTGTTCAATGAGAAAGGACATAGAAGCTTCTTCAGCAAAATCAACCACGTACCCAGTTTAACATCGATGGGTGCTGCCCTTGCAGACCCCAGCCCCTCAGATGTGCTCAGTTTAAAGCAGAAACCACACCAAAACAGAAGCAAAGAAGCCTCTTTTTTGTTGCGGTTACAGGAAAAGACCCAATCTTGAAACAGTCAAAAACCTAAAAGGCAAAGGAAAGGCACCTCCAAAAACATCACTGGTAGGGTTTTCTTAGGATGAGTGGGGTTGGCAGTGGGGGGTGGTTGCACCCCCCCAGTCCCATAGCTTTTGTGCAGGGCTGTGACAAATCTGTACAGACCCTGTGTTCCCCCACACCCAGCCGCGTCCCTGCGGAATCGGGATGAGGAGCTCAAGGAAACGCCAACACAAGAGAGGTCTTGCGAACGTAATGCTTTATTGTCTCGTGGACACCTCAAGGGGCCGAAGCACAGCCTGGTGCATCAGGAGACAGCGGGGAAGCATGAATGATGCCTCCGCCCTGGGTCACGATGGTCCTGGAGGGCAGAGGAGGGGGCTGGCAGCTGGGTAGCCCCGGGGCTTGCGAAGCTTTGGGGAGGCTGGCGGGCGCTGGTCCCTGTTGGCCGTGGGATGTCCCATCACTTCAGCTTCTGACAGGACAGCTGCTGGGCCTGCTGCTTCTGCTGGCACGGGACCTGCACCTGGACGTTGTAGCTACATTCAACGTCGGAGGTGTGACTCTCGCCGTGGCAATGATCATAGCCATGGAAGGAGTGGCCAACCCCCGAGGCGTGACACGCCGCG